AAATTAAAGTTCATCTTTAAAATTATAGTACCAGTTTAGAGAGCTCACACCTGAGAACGTCTGAAACCACGCATCTATTTGATAGATTAATTAGTTCTTATTGTAAATTTTATCTTTAAACTTATTTTCTTTATTCTTCATTTCACATGACATCACGCCTTTTATCCTTGAAGGGTTAGGCAGAGGTGCACATTAGGGCAGTTAATGCCACTGTACAATGTAACACCCACTTTTCACTCTTTATGTCATGAGTCCCATGTAATAGGGGGTAAGCTTATTGCCATATACCGGGCACATATCCAGACTCCGTGCTACTTCTGAGGTTTTTACAAACCCAGTAATATTTTGCTCGACTCGGGAATCGAACCCGAGACCCCTTGCCCGGCAGTCGCATTTGCGACCACTCGGCCAATTCTTCATTTCATTATACGTATTATATGGGATTGTTCTGTTGTTAACGCATTCACACATGTTTATGATGACACAGGGAGTTTTGAATTCTGCTCGGTCACCGACGACCGTATGTGTAAAGGCTCCCATTACAATGGGTACAAGACACGTATCCAAAAGTGGGTTTTACACAGGTATAAATATATGATACTTTTTATATCTTTTCGGTAACGAGCAACGTAGTATCATGTGATTCCAAACCATTTTGAGGTTTTGACTATCTATCAACAGAAAATTGTTGCGACCAAATCCAGCCCTAACGTAAGTACATCATACCTTTAGGCGACATTAACATAATAAAAAATAACAAAAAAGAAACCTTCTTTATTCTCTTATAAAAAGGTTAACGTGATTCAACTATAAAGCTGCATGACAATGGACGGTGGCCGTTAGTCTGAAGTGAAATTAATAGCTTTGCTGGCATGAAAGTACTTCACTCCTCTACTGCCCTCGAGTCGACTAACGAAATTGAGTATCGGGAATAGGATTAGATTAAAGTCTTTTATAACTGCAACTGTGACCTCTTGATTGAATTCCGTTTTTCTATTCCATTCTGTTCATTCACTGTTAAGATTTTTCTGTGATAAGTTGCTAGTATCTACGTTCAATTAAGTTCAACGTAAATGTGTGAAAGCTTAGGTACATGTTTCATACTCTGTTATAGTTACTTAATCGAATTAAGTCTACGCACTTCTTTATGGGACAAGCCCGCCACAACCACCCAAAATCACTGCAACTCCTGTAAGCCAGGATCTACAGTAGATACAACCATGAAAACATCGGAACACTGAAGTCTGGCGCGTCACAGGGACATGAGTACCTGTCTTGGTTCCCGCAACGAAGTGAATCAGAAGATATTATAAGAGGAGAAGAAAAAAAACGATGGTTTCCACTTCCCTCGGTGAATTACTGCAGGAGACAGAATGAATTAAGCCTAAAAGCACAAAACAGAGACTGTACAACTGGGTGATGCCCAGTCAACAAGCATCACGGAAATTTGTCTAAAAACTAAGTGGGTCATATGTGTGAGCTATGTATACTATCATGGTATTCATGGTCCTATGTAATTTTTTTTTAAGGGGTCCTATGTATACTAAGTCTACTAAGTGCATACTAAGTGCGTAGACTTAGTATAACACCTCTGTGCGTTTCGGGTGTCGATGAGCGGCGCTGTTTGCTTAATATCAATTCATCCATTTGCTTGTTTATCGACTTAACCCTATTAAAAAACATGTTTTAGATATTCTCACTAACTGGTATATAGCAATAGGCTTTCAGCTTAAAAGTTGGTGTCGCTATACATATAGCATAGCAACGCTACGAAAATTTGATTAGGTACAATGGAAATTCTACCCTCTGTATGACTGTGCTTACCTTTGTATTAAAAAGAAGTAAGTTTATATTTAAAATAAATTCATTTTAAGTTTGTCTAGAAGAGAAAATATCATCGCGATATCATAATAAAACAACGTTCTTCGTTAACAATAAACACAAAAAAGAAATATAATATTTTGTCTGTCATAAAATACTCATTTTGTTAATGTAAAAAAATAATTTAATTTATAATGATAACGTCTAGTCTAGTCTCGGCTATTTTATCATAAAAACGGACAGGTTTAATAAATATCTAATAAGTTAGCCATGAAAAAAGGAATATTATATTTTTAAGTGGTTTTTAGAAATACTGAATCATGACTCGGCCTCAATTTAATATATACAATATGTTGGAAGAAAAATAATTATAAGCTAGAGTAGTATTTTTAATTCAAATGTAGTTTATTACTCGTCGTATCCCAAAGAAGATAATCAAGTTCTTTAATAGTCCTTTATAATTCATTTTTGTGAATAAATAGATTATTAACGTATATTACATTGCACCCTCTCTACACTAAATTGGTCCTATTTTCGTACGAGAATGAATTATTTATTTTAAAGATGATATTAAGCAATGTATAGGATGTAAGTCAGGTAACTAGAACTCACATGGCCAGCGGATATTGAAATATTACTTATCTAATACCGTCCACGGAAGATCTCTCAATTTCCGTACACGAACGAGTAGCTGAAGTGCAGGTATAGGTGCAAACGTAAAGTATGCATCACATCTCTCTAAAGTGGATCAATATAGGATAACGTATACTGTAGAATTTATGAAATATTTTGATGTAATAGATTGATGAAAGTGGTGTTTTGACTTTAAAGAATTATTTTGAAAAAGGAAATTTATAGTTTGGGTTTTAGTGTACATTAAACTGACAAATTGTCGACACACAGCTACGAGAGACGATGTCCCCAAGGCTGACAGAGGTTGAATGAATGTGAAGTGTTGTTGACTGAGCTCAGTAGCGTATTATTGGAGGCCCTTGTGTCCAGGCCGGTAACGAACTTTTAACGCCTCTAGTGTTCCAGGCGTCCATGGGCGGCGCCGATTGCTTCTCATCAGGTGATCCGTCTGCTCGTTTACCGGCTTATGCAATAAAAGAAGCGTTTATGAAAAATTTAAAGTAAGGTTTTGAAAAAAGTTCGTGAATATTTTCTTAATTTTTCGGAAAGTAACAACAAAATAACCTTATTCAATTCCTATAAACAACTTATTGGTCCAGATTAGAAATAAATTGACAGGATCAGGTATTAATAACAAACAAAATAAATTAGTGGAGTAGTTAACGTAACTAAATAACTGTGTGATAAATAAACAACTGTCGAGGAAGAGATAAAATCTCTTTATTTCGTGGGATAGTCGAATCTGATTACCTGTCTGGCAAAATAACTTTGTTATTCCCGTGATCTGTCGCCAAGGAATTGTTTGGGGCTCTCGACGATAGGGCAGCCCGATAACGTAAGATAATAACATCACGCACACTTTTTCCTTAAAGAGGTAGACTGAAGTATTATCCGTCCGCACTCGGCAATTTATTTTTAACCATACGACAAACTTTGTCAGTTTACGTTGTGTTTTTATAATGACTATCATGACATACTAAATTAACTAAAAACTGCGGGTTATTCACGTGAGTATACTGAGAAAAGCTTTACTAGTTTCGAACCACTGAGGGGTTCTTCCTCATGAGCAGCGTGCGCCGCCGCGGCGACGTCGCGCAACTCACTGCGTTTAGTTTAGGTTGTGTTGAATTTTCTTCCAATTTCAAAAAAAGTTTGTCACCATACTTTAACTTTGAGCATACTTTTTTGAAAATGAAACGGCTAGATTTTCTCTCAATTATTTTTCATAATTAAGATTTACTTAAGATCAATCTTCTTAATTGTTATATTGGTGGATTAATGATGTAGTCTGTATATGTGAGCGAAGCTGCAGGCGAAAGTTGGTACCTAATCATTATATTATATTAGCTATAGGTACAGTAGCAACATGATGATGAAGAGTAGACATTTAACCCGCCTGCCTACGTACGCCTCATTAGGTTTTCGTGGAAAACAACTTGATATTCTATTATATTGTATATTCTAACATTGTATTCTATAACGAGACACGAATAGTTTCAGGTTTAACGTAATTATTGTAGAGAATAGAGAATAAATCTAAACTAGCTGTTAGTCTAGACTATGTATTAGGTGGATAGTGCCTATTAGGACTAGGTACTGTACGAATTATTATTGATAGATGATTATGAAATATCATTGATACATTAACCGGGTTCACTAAATTAATTCAGATATGGTAAAAAACGCAGTAGTGTCCGACGAGGGAGTCGCTCCCGAAACCGCTTCCTCAACAATGACTTAATAAACATAGGGGATATTTTACCAAGTTATTGTATAACCGTCCTGCACCCAATTAAACCGTAAATGAATAAAATAAACCACAAACAAAAGGTCTACAGTCCGAACATTTGAAAGTAAATAGGGCACAAACAGGCAATTATAATTGCAAAGGTGTTTTGTAACGTTTCACAAAGCCTTCGGGTAGCGATGAGACGTATATACTGGTAGAGGTATATATACCAAGTATGTGCTTCCCAGTACATAGACCGGGTACGGACCGAAATACTGGGTAAATACCTTGAAGGTATGACGTCAGACGCATAGTACGATACGAACCGCTACCACAAGGTAGCGTCCAGTTTTATCGGTAGTTCGGTACGCCGAAGCAACCCGAAGCTACCCGACAGCTTACGAAGGGACACGAAACGTCAATCGTGCTTTATGAACATTCGGTTGATTTAATTTTGTTAGACAAAATGGGTACTTATTTTTACGTGCATAAGGAACATACATTTTTTGTCACGACGTGAAAGAGTTCCTTAGTTTGTTTATGTTAGGGAATATTATTACGTGTTTGAATGTTTACGTTTAGTGGTACCTATGTCGACAATGTTTTGATTTTTTGCGTCAGTTGTGATTGCGATTTCATTACACCTGTTTGTTTTTATGTATAAAAGTGTATAGCTTTTATTTATGTGTAACAAGTTAACAACTTTGTGGTGTAAATATATTCAAGAAAGTGTAAATATTAGTTGGATAGCACTTAGGTTAGGTATTCTTCCTAGTAGGTATATTAGAGGACTTATATAATTTATAAATGAGTAATAATGGCTCCTAAAAAAAGTGTGGCATGGGATCACTTTACCGATAAAGGTGATTTTAAAGCAGAGTGTAAAATGTGTAAAGCTGTTTTCTCTTACAAATCCGGAGTCACAAATCTCACAAAACATATCCAGAGGAAACATCTTGCTGTAAATTTAGTTAGGAGGGATAATAATTTGAACCAACTAGAAAATCAACCTATTCAAGAAGCACAGATGAATGCCCCACCAATGTCACAAACTACTGCAACCGGTATTTCCTCTCAAACTGCGACGACGTCGAGTATGGTACGAAGTCATCCGTCCAGCATATCAGCATTTCTTAGACGCGATTGTAATAAAATAAAAAAGGAAATTGATGATCACTTAATGAATCTGTTTGTATGTGACATGCAGCCGTTTTCCATAGTAGAAGATAAAGGATTTCGTGAATTGATCAAGTTTGCATTCCCAAATTATACAATACCATCAAGAAAATATTTTGCAAACAATTTATTGCCAGGACTGTATGAAGAAGTAAAAACTGCAACTAAAATTTCTGTAAGTGAAGATGCAAGTAGTATATGCTTAACCACCGATATTTGGACGTCGAGAAATAATGACTCCTATCTGGCGATCACGGGTCATTACATTGATAGGAATTATAATTTACAATCTGTACTTCTCGAATGTAAAGTTTTAGAAAAAAGTCACACTGGTGTACATTTGGCCGAGGAGATAAAAAATGTAACTCAGGATTGGTCTATTCCATCTGAGAAAGTGCTTCTTGTAGTTTCCGATAATGGTGCGAACATAACGAATGCTGTAAAGCAAATATTAGGGTGGAAACATTTTAGCTGTTATGCGCACACGTTAAATCTAGCGGTACAAAAGATATTAGGAAACTCCTACATTAAAGATACTTTAAGTAAAGTAAAATCAATAGTGTCATATTTTAAGCGTAGTAATGTGGCTTGGAACAAATTGAAGACTTACCAAGAGCAAGCCAATAAGGTGGTGAAGAGGCCCCTTCAAGACGTCCCTACACGGTGGAATTCCACATTTTATATGTTGTCACGATTTGTCGAGTTAAAAGATGAAATTAATTGCGCAATGAGCAATTTAGATGTAGTGAATTGCACTCGTTTAACAAGTTACGATTGGGATGTATGTCAATCATTAATTTGGGTGTTGCGTCCATGTGAGGAAGTTACCAGAGAAATGAGCGGTCAAAAATATGTTAGTGGTAGCTCGGTGATTCCCATAACGGTTGGCCTTACCAATGCTCTACAGGAAATTGCTACTGAGACATACCGACAAGAAAACAATATAAGTATATTTCCAGACGAAGTTGAAATGTGCCGCCAGGATTTACTCTCCGAAATTAATAGTCGATTTCAAAATTTAGAAAGGAGCCGTACCTTAACTATCTCTACATTTTTAGATCCAAGATATAAATTATATTTCCAAAATGCAACCGTAGCAGAAAATACTAAACATCACGTTGTGGGTTTAGTAACATCTATGATCCAACAAACAGAAACTAATCAACCTACAACTACAGGCTCTGAAGCACCACAAGATGTCCAAGAAAAAAAATCTAATAGTTTAATTTGGCAACATTATATTAAAACCATGAAAAATGTACGGCCAACTGGTACAGCCAACAGTAGGGCTATCATAGAAGTACAAAAATATATAGATGACAGTGTGTTATCACCAGACATGGACCCATTGACATGGTGGCGAGCTAACCAAAGTATTTACCCGAACTTAGCCAAACTGGCCAAATTAAAATTGAACGCAATGGCTACCAGCGTTCCATGTGAACGGCTATTTTCTGTTGCCGGAAATATATTAACAGAAAGAAGATCGCGGCTTGGTAGTCGAAAAGTCCAGCAATTAATATTCCTGCAGCAAAATAAAAAACACTAAAAACCGTACAAAAAAAAAAAACAAAAAAAAATAAAAAAAAAACAAAAAACCTGACAAAACTAAAAAAAAATATTGCAAATTAAAATTACGATTGTAAATAAATTGATTTGAAATCTTTTAACTACGCCGGCTAGTTAGTCAGTTTAAATATAATTAATGTTATTTTGCATTAATTTAAATAGAAATAACTAGAATTCATTAATAACCATCGTCATACTCTTAGCCGACAGTCCTAAGCCTGGTAAAGTAGGAAGGAAAGATTTCATATCTCATAATGCATAATTACGTATGGGTACTTGAAACATCGTACCTACATTATATTGGAGGCATACCCTACTTATCGCATACGTTTACTTATCGAAATCCTACCACACCCAAATACTTAGAAGTATTTTGATACCCGGTATTTGTACCAGGTATTTAGTGATACCCATACCTTAAAGGCCGGGTATGGAGAATGGCAGGTATATCTCATCTCTAT